AGCGCTTGCCTTGCATGCCTGAGGCCCTGGGTTCAATTCCTCAGCACCACATAAGCAAAAAGAAAAAAGCCAGAAGTGGCACTGTGGCTGAAGTGGTAGAGCTCTAGCCTTGAGCTGAAGAGCTGAGGGACAGCAACCAGGCCCAGAGTTCAGGCCCCATGACCAGACTCAAAAAAAAAAAAAGAAGAAGAAAAAAAGTATGTTGGATCTGTGACCCAAACATTTTAAACGAGATTTTTGCCTGAAAACTCCTCAGTGCTGACTTCTGTTGAACACATTAGCACATCTCCGGGGTGGGCTGGCTTCCTAAGGTTACAAGGGGTAGGTCTGGGTGAGGGAAGGTTGCTCTGAATTATGATCCCTGCCAGGCCCCCCCAGGAAGCAGGAACTCACACTGAGCTCCCTGCCTCCCCCATCCCTCAAAAAAAAAAAAAAAAAGCTAATTTCCCAGAGTCCATACAGGCCCCACCACAATGCCAGGAGATAGAAATCATGACAGTTCACAACTCAAAGTAGACACCCCCTCCCTCCTACCCAGGCTACAGTCACTGTACAAATGTCAGCCCCTCATTAGACTCCAATGAGGAGTCTGGGCCACAGCTCGGTGGTAGAATAGTTTCTTAGCATGCACAAGGCTGTTGGAACTGATCATCCCCATTTTATTGTTGTTGGTTGTGGGGGGCTTGAACTCTGGGCCTGGGCACTGTCCCTCAGCTCTTCAGCTCAAGGCTAGTGCCCTACCACTTGAGCCACAGCGCTACTTCCAGCTTTTCTTTGCTTATGTAGTGCTAAAGAATTGAACCCAGGGCCTCATGCATGCCAGGCAAGCACTCTATCACTGAGCCACCTTCCCAGCCCGATCACACCCATTTTATAGATGAGAAAACTGAGGCACAGACATGATGTGAGACTCACCCCAAGTTGCACTGCTTCTCAGAAGAAGATACAGACTTTGAACTTCTATGTCCTGGCTCTACAGATCTGTGTTTTACCACTAGGCCACCCAAGGAAATGCCAATGAAGCCTCCCAGAACATGTGTGCACTGAGTGAATAAGGAATCTCAACCAAGCCCCTCATGGAAGCATCTGAAAGGGCTGGCTGTCAGCAGCCATTCTGCCACTGCCATCTGACCCTACAGGAGCCTGCCAGCAGCCTACCTCCAGAGGGGTGAAGTCGTGATTGACCAGGAATGCCAGGATGGCTGTGGGAACAACCAGGAACTCCACCCTGAACGTGTCATGGTTGCCGTCGTAAGTGGCTTTGAACTTGCTGTAAATCATCCAGACTGTGGTGAAGGAGCAGGCTATGTAGACCACCTGATTTGGGGGAGAGGGGGAGACAGGCATTAGCTCACAGGGCAGGGCCCCCACCTCCACCCCAGGCTCAGATCCAGGGGTCCACACCTCAGGCTCCTCCTCAGACCTCAGTCCTCCTCCTCAGATGTGGAAGTCCAGACCCCAGCTCTCCTCCCTCAGACCTAGGACTCCAGCCTCATTCCTGCCCTCTTCCCTGACCCCCCCCCTCCTGGTTCACTCCTCAGGCCCCCCAGAAGGTGTCCAGGCGCCTCTACCTTCATGCACGTGTTGTAGAGGGAGATGTAGTTGGTGAACAGGTCAAGGTAGCGAGCGGTGAACACCACGGCAAACAGGACCTGGCTCTTCCCCGAAATCCCTGTGGTTGGAGTACAGAGGTCAGGCAGATAGGGGCAAGCACAGGTCAGGTGGGGGGGGGAAGGGGGGGTGCTGCTGGGGTGGTAAACTAAGTCACCAGTGCCTGGGTCCAGCCTGCAGCGGCTCTGAGGTGCAGCTGTCGCCAGAGGCCTTGCCACCTGAAGCCAGGCTGGCTCCCACCGCCCACAGCCAGGGGGCAGCCGGGCCGAAACTACTCCAGCCCGAGGCTCCGGCCCGAGCTAGGCCTCATGGTCACCCCTGACCCTTCCAGGGTTTCCCCCACGATCTCGATCCACGGCGGGGGCGTGCGGAGGACCCGGCCTGACCTCAGCCTCCCGGAACCAGTTGCCTCCCTCCTCCTGCTCCCTTCCTGGCCACGACTGTCCACGTCACCAACTCCGCCTGCCACAGCTCTGGGTCCCCAGCCCCGGCGCCTGCGGGGCTGCCGCGATCGGGGCTGCAGAAGGCTGAACTGGGGGGTGGGAGGGGATGGGGGACCAGGAGCCACCCCCACACACACCCGTGTGCGCCCCTCCCTGAGTCTGGGAATGGGAGCTCACCCCTCCCCGCCTCCTCCCCCCCGCCCCGGGAACCCCAGACTTGAAAAGGGGGGAGTCCCAGCAAGCGGTGCGACCTCTACTGCTCCCAAAGCCTTCTCCGGGTCTGGGCTGGGGGAGGGGCCCGGCCTCCCTGCTCCCCTTCGCCCCCCTCCCGCCCCTGCCTCGCGGGCCCCTCCTCACCGGCACACGATCGGGACTTCCAGATTTTCAGCAGTAGCAAGATGATGGCCAGGAGGTGGGAGAGGTCTCCCAGGAATCGGAAGAGATTCATAGTTGGGGCGGGAGGGGGGGGTGCTCCGGTGGGGCCGCGCTGGAGGAGGCGGGCAGGGCTGGGGGGAGGGGGGAGCCTGGCCCGGGGGAGGGGGGAGCTGCTCCGGGTCCGGACGGCTGGGCCGAGGGGCGGGAGAAGGGCCCTGGGGGGGCGGGGCCCGGGGGAGGGGGGAGCTGCTCCGGGTCCGGACGGCTGGGCCGAGGGGCGGGAGAAGGGCCCTCCGGTGGGCTCCGCTCCGGGGAGGGGGCTCTGGGAGGGGGGGAAGCCGAGGCCCGAGCTGGCGGCTGAGCTACCGCGGGGGAAGAGGGAGGGCGGGCGGAGGGGCGGGGGCCGCGCCAGGAAGCTCCGCCCCGGGGCGGGGCCTCGGCTCTCGGGCTCCCCCTGGCGTCCGCCTCCCGCCTTGCACAGCCGGCGATGGATGCCCCCTGGCCAAGGCTCGCCTCGGAGACGCTGCCAAGGCGGCTAGCATGCCATCGTCCCAAATCCTGCACCTGTCTGTCCCCTACGCCGTCTGAGCCTCCCTCGCGGGTTGAAGCGAGCCGCCTGGCGTCTGCCTTGCTGCGAGGGGATTCCAGAGGCTGGCCTCTGCACTTTTAAGAATCCTGGGATGCCAGGATTCTTGGTTGGGCGTGCCTGTGATTCCCAACCCTCAAGAGGATAAAGCAAGAGGATGGTGAGTTCGAGGCTAGCTTGGGCTACACGTCCGGACACTGAGAGGCAATGTCTGAGAGGGGAAGAGAAAGAGAGAGAGAGGAAAACAAAAAAGAAGGTAGCCATAGACACTGAAAGGCTTCAAGCTTCCTCCCTCAAACCCAGTGCATAACCCAGCCTCCTCCCTCAGAAGACAGGGGTCTAGGATCTAACCTTCATTCCTCAGTCAGAGGGGTTGGGCACAAGATACTAAGCCCTATCCCCTTTTGCCCAGACACAGGGGTCCAGGACCCATCCCTCCTCCCTCAGATCAGGTGTTCAAATCCCATCTTTTTTCCCTGAGACCCAGGGATCCAGGTTTCCATTCCTCCTCCCTCAGAACCCAAACATGACTAGAAAGCCCCCATGTGGCTCTGAATGGGCTGTGGTAGGTAAAGGACACCTGGGATTCTGAGAATGCAGTCTGGAAAATGCCCATATTCATGGCGTGTGTGTGTGCACACGCACATGTGTGTACACCCATATGTTGGAGGGACAATCCTGAAGTAGGAGCTGTGAGCTCCCAAGTCATCTGATTCAAAGTTTCCCCTGGATGCCAGTCGTGACACCCTTCCTTGCTACATTCCTAAAGTCTGGGGGGACAGGAGTGGATTGGGGAACTTGGGAGGAAGCCATGGTGAATGTCTATTCCTGGAGTGAGAACACTTTCTCCATGAAATGAATGAAAGGGAAGAGGAGATGAGGTTAGGAGGCTGGAGACTGGGCCCTGGGTCTGAGGGGGTTGGGGGGTGCTGGACCCTGGGTCTGAGGAGAGAGGGCTGGGGCCTGGACCTGAAGGAAGAGGGCTGGGCACCTGGACCCCTAGCTTAAAAGAGGAGGACTGAGCCCTGGACTCCTGATGGGTCTGAGGAAGGAGGCTGAGCCCTGGACTCCTACTGGGTCTGAGGGAGAAGGCTAGGGCCTGGACTCCTGAAGAAAGGAAGGGGCAGAGGAAGAGGTCTGAAGGAAGAGGCAGAGGCTTAGACCCCTGGGTCTGAGGGAAGAGGCAGGGGCTTGGACCCCTGGGTCTGAGGGAAGAGGCAGGGGCTTGGACCCCTGGGTCTGAGGGAAGAGGCAGGGGCTTGGACCCCTGGGTCTGAAGTGGGGGAAGGCTGGGAACTGGACTCCTGGGATCTGACGGGGGAGGACTGGGCCCTGAACGTCTGCATCTGAGCAGGGAGGGCTAGGGCCTGGACTCCTTCCTGGGTCTGAAGGAGGAGGGCTGAGGCCTCGATCTGATGGAAGAGGGCTGGGGACCTACACCCCTAGCTTAAAAGAGGAGGGCTGAGGCTTGGACTTCTGGGTCTGTGGAAGGAGGCTGTGGTGAGGACCCCACCTTCTGTGGAGCCCCAATTGCATGTCTAATCTTCTAGGCAATATCAAGCACAGGATGGGGCTCATACAGTGGGCACGGGAGTCAGGGAAAGAGGGAAAGGCTGGTCCTTCCCACACCACTGAGTGGGGCTGGAGCCAATGTGGAGCTGGACCCAAACACTGGAAGCTGAGTTCCAAGTGAATATTTGCACACGGGCTTTGAGTCCCTGTGTGCCCACCCAGATTGTCTCTGTTTCCATTCACAGCCCCTCACTGCCTTGTCCCAGGGTGGGGGGGGAAGAGAGACAAGAAGCCAGGAGACAGGGTAGGGGGCACCCCCCTTCCCCCCTCCCCAGCCCTGGCAGGAGGAGGGGTCCCTAGGGAGGCCAGGAGGGGGGGCTGTGGGTCTCCTGGCAGGGACGGACGGGGACTGAATGTTAATCGCCTCCCGGGTGAGTGTGTGTGCGAGAACAGAGCGAGTGTGCGAGCGAGTTCCTCCCGCTCCAGCTCAAGCAGCGGCTGCCGCCGCCGCCGCCACCCTCAGCCTGCCCGCCTGCCCGCCCGCAGCCTCCCTCGGCCACCCTGAGCCCAGCTGAGGGGGGGGAGTGTTAGCCTGGGTGGGTCCGCCCGGCCCCCAGGGGTCTCTCCTGCGACAAACATCTGCCTGGTGAGGACGGTGGTGGGGTGTCTGGGGCTGGTTGGGGGGGGGTGTGTCTGCAGTGGCCGAGGGAGGAGGGGTCTCTCTGTCTGTACCCACCCCAAGCTGCCTGCCTGCATGTCTCAGCCCCCCACCCCCAAGTCCTCCCTCCCCTCCCTCCCTCCTCCCCGTGAGCCTCCAAACCTGGATGCATGGTGGACAACTGGCTTCAGTGCCTCCTGCCTGCGTCCAGCCGGGCTCTTGGGTGTCCCCAGCTGCCTGTGTCCTCCTGTCTGTCCAAACAGCAGTAGCAGCCGGGCCCCCATTGGACCCCTGTGTGTGTGTGTGTGCGCGCGCGCGCACACACACGTGTGTGCGTGTGTGTGTGTGTGTGTGTGTGTCCCTCCTGGGGCTCCAGGGGTGTTAAGGGGGAATCCCAGGGAAGTGAGGTATGCGTGTGTTTGCCTGTGTTTGAGAGTGGGGGCGCCGGGAGGAGGGGGGCTGGAGGTGGCCAAGCGAGGAAGGGGAAAGCAGTTCCCCCAGCTAGGCAATCTCCCGCCACACACACACACACACACACACACCAGCCACGGGCTTCAGAGGTGACCCAGACAGACTGATGGACAGACAGACAGACACAGATAAGGGCACAAAAGGGATGTGCAAATAAGCCAAGGAGGGGCGAGATGGGACCCGTGGCCGGAGGGAGAGGGAGGAGCTGGGACTGAAGCCGCAGACAGACAAGGCACCCCGGTGGGTGGAAGGGGATCCCCGCGGGGGTCGGGCTGCAGGAGGACACCCCAACAGCCTCCGCAATGTCCGGGGCCCAACTTCCAGTGCAACATGTGTAGCCTCGTCCTCGCCTAGTCGGAGTGGCCGCAACCTTGGGGGACAGACAGGGCAGGTCGGGATCAAGGAAGAGGAGGGAGAGACAGAACGAGGGACAGGCCAGAGGTCCCCACCGCCGCTGCCACCACCACCACCTCTGCTGCTGCTGCCGCCGCCACCGCCACCACCACCGCTGCTACTGCTGCCGCTGCTGCCGCCGCCACCGTCGTGACCTGCTGTCCGGGGGCCGCCCCCCCTCCCGCCCCCCCTCAGAAATCAGCGGGTGGCTGGACACTGGGCTCCGATCCTGGCCCCCGCACAACTCCCCCCACAGAACAGGGTCATGAAAAGGTAAGGCTGGGGCTGGGGGGGTTGTAGGGATGGGAGTAAGAATGGGGACCCCCCCATCTAGGATAGTGAAAGTTAGCCAGAGGCCTCATGAAGAGAAGGGGCTTGAATGGTAGGCAGGGGTCTTTGCCCCCCCACACTCCTTGCCCCTTGGAGGTATCTCTGCTCCTTTGCTTTCTCCCTCCCTGAACCCCTTTTTTCTTGGGCATGTGTACTGCAGACCTCCCAAGTCCCCCCCCATTTCTCTGAGGCTTTGCTCTTCTACCTGACACCCCCCCCACCTCTCCATCTCACCTTGTCTGCACCCCCTCCCTGCATCGGGCTCCCCCATCGCTGGCCGTCCTCTCCCTCTCTCCTCTCACTCTCCCCTCCCACCTCAGAGCTATGAGTCTGCTATTAATACTGCTGGCAAGGACAGTGTGCTGAGGGCATCCAGGCCCCGCTCCCCTTGCCCTGGGCCACCACCCCTTCCTCAAGATTGCTCCCCCAAGCCTTAAGATTGGGGTTTGGGGGGGAACAGGCCACCATCTGCAGCTTGACTTGTGGGGGGGGCTGTTGATCACCGTGGCCTCTCTCTTCTGTGATGAAGACAAGCACACCCCAGGAATGGCGGGCTCACCCCTCCATCTCTGCATCCCAAAGACAAGCGGTGCTGTGGGCAGGATCTCAGTGTGGGGGGGGCCCACTGGGGTGGCAGGAGCTGGGGGGGGGTTGCAGGATGTTGGGACTGAGGAGGTTCTAGACAAGAAAAAGGGGTCCTTAAGGGAGGACAGGGTGGGAACTGACTTCTTGGGGTTAAACAGTTAGAACTCAAGTGCTGGGGGGCTGGGGGGGGACGCTGGCCAGGCCTGGGAGCCTTCTCGGGAGAAGTTGGAGGGTAACTCCAGTGGCTGAGGGGCAAGGGCTGGGGTAGAATTAGGGGCTCCACCTTTGCAGCCTCTGTGTGGATGAAAGTGTGACCCACCAGTCACGAGGAGGAGGTGGAAATTAGCGATCTGGACCTGGCCATGTGGGGGAGGGGGACCGGTGTGTGTGGGCACTGGGTTGGGGCCTCCAGGGATGGGTCGGCAGGGGTGAGGGACGGCTGAACTCCGAAACCCTTCATGGAAACGGATGAGGCTCCAGCCTCCTTCGAGGGGTGGGGCTGGGACTGCCCTTCTAGGCCTCATCAGGAGAGAGGGCCCTGGGGTCCCCAAAAAGCACCGGGCCAAGAAGGAGTGG